TTACCGTCATCTATTCTCACAGATTATATGCATACAAAGTTTTAAAAAAAAAAACAATTTGATATGCAGATGAAATCCGTGTGAAGAGAAAAACAGGTTTCCATAGTGTTTATACTCTCTCCCATCCTAATTATAAGAGCTAGTTGACTAATCTGAAGAGATTAAAGAAATAAGTTAAGTTAGTTATTTGTAATAAATATATGTTGTCTTTCCTAAAATATCCTTGCTAATCAAATGTATTGGCTAGAAATGTTATCATTAGAAGGACTACCTTGGAAAAAAATGTATAAATAAAATAGACAAAAGAGATTGGGATCTTATATTTAGGACTAAAATAAAAGTCAAACAAGATTTTATATTAAGGACCGGAGGTAGTATTTTTTATGGTTAAGGATAAAAATATATATGAAAATATACTAAAACTTCACACAACATCGTGAATGTTCTTTGGGTTCAAATTGACTAATTCAAACTTAAAAAGAGCTCAATAATGCCAATGCTATCAAAATTAACAAATGTCTCTTTTTTAACAATGGGACCCATGATTTTTGTAAGTGAAAGAAACAAAATACCTCTAATTACAAAAAAAAATTCAAGGGTTAAAAAAGTTGATGTTTTCGGGCATGAGTTTCCCTTATACATTTTTATGATATTTTTGTATTCTTTTAGTTATAGAGTACATTTATCTTCTTCTTTCTCTCTTCTTTTCTGGTTGGGGACACTTGAGCACTGCACACAGAACCCACAACAGGACATTGAAATCCCTAAGCTCCAACTACTAATACAGATTTAAGCATTACTATAAACAAAAAATCAGGAGTTAGCATAATTTTAGTTTGTATCTTTAAACTTCCAACCCATGACCTTACACACAAAAAAATTTAAAGATGTTCAAGCTTTTTTTTTTTTTTCAATGAAAAGAGACAGCTGAGTAGGTACTAAAGGCCTAGGATTACATTGCAGGGGATGTCAAACCTGTGACCTTCCTTTTAGAAAAGAGTTTTCATATGCCACTAGAACAGAACGCTATTATTTTAAAAATGTTCAAACTTTGTGTTTGATCAACCTGAAGCTGCCGATACCATTTAGGCCACTAGAGATGGTCATTATGTTAAGGCTAAGCTTGACCCATTTGGTAGAAGTTCATGAAGGGTGGTAGTTTTTTCCAAAACAATTAATTAGAAAAAATTTAGGCATTTCTAATTAATTGTCATCCACTTCATGTGAATCTATTTAGCATATTCGAGAGCTTATTGTATTCCAATTCCAATTATGTGGGACCCAATAGACTAGTTTTGTATTTTATTATGCCCTTCTCACACGTTACGTTTATGTCCATTGCCTTAATTTGGATGTTCTCCAAAGACTTTTGACTCTAATGTGTGCCCGTCTTACACATCTTTAATAATGAGTTTGCTTTTTTTGAATTTTCATAGGACCTCTATATGTATTGTGGTGTTCATCTCACGTTTAGCAATCTCTTGTCTATTTTTACCATATAAGACTTTAATATTGACGAAGACCATTAACAATGATATTCTTTTTTTATTCTTCTTTAATTTTTAAAAAAGAAGGGAGCAAAAACTCTACTATCTATTACAATTATTACCGTCATCTATTCTCACAGATTATATGCATACAAAGTTTAAAAAAAAAAACAATTTGATATACAGATGAAATCCGTGTGAAGAGAAAAACAGGTTTCCATAGTGTTTATATTTTTTTGGCTTAAGGGTCAAATATATATATATATATATATATATATTAAAACTCCACCCAACATTGTGATTTTTTTTGGGTTCTAATTGACTAGTTCAAATTTAAAAAAAGCTCAATAATGCCAATGCTATCAAAATTAACAAACGTCCCGTTTTTAGCAATGGGACCAATGAATTTTTTTAGTGAAAGTATCAAAATACCCCTAATTAAACAAAAAAAAGTCAAGGGTCAAAAATACCCATAAACTTCATCAAACACCATATGATTTTTAATAAAAATACCAAAATACCACCAATTTCGAAAGGTTATTGCATTAGAGTGTATTAGAGATTATTAAGTATAATAAATTTTTATATCACCAATCTTTATAATTAAAAAAGATTATTAATCTTTTTCAATAAATTTTTTATTAGCCAATTTTTTTCAATAAAAACCAGCCTATTGTTATAGTTATTCTATTCATTGATGGCTGAAAATATTCTAAGAGCATAAATATTATACATAATAATTAAATATTTTTGTAACTACTAAAAATAGCCTTAAATTTTCTCAAAGAAATTAAACATAAACATAAAAGAAATTTCAGGTTGACTGTTAAATTTGATAACATAGATTAGAAAATAAACATACAGCTCCATGTATCGTTGATATAAGTAACTTATTTTCAAAAGATATCCATAATGTCTACTCAAAAAAAATATTGGGGATATAAATAACTTAACATTGTAGAGCAATACAATTCAAGCTTAAACTTTTTCATATTAGTTATTTTAATTATAAAAATTTTGTTATAATTAATAATCTCTAACACACTCTAATACAATAGCCCTTTGAGATTGGGTGTATTTTGATACTTTTATAAATATTATATGGTGTTTGGTCAACTTTAAGTATAAGTTCATGTAACTCTTAGTTTTTTTCCATTTTAATTGAGGGTATTTTGGTATTTTTATTTTAAAAAATATGGGTCCCACAACCAAAAAAACGAATGTTTGTTAATTTTAATGACGCTGACATTATTAATCTCTTTTTTAAACTTGGATTGGTAGACTTGATCACGAAGAAAGTTCATAGTGTTAAGTAAAGTTTTGATATATTTTCATAAGTGTTTTTAACCTTTAACCTCATTTTTATGATAAAAAAATGTACATATTTTGAGTAAAACAAAAGTGTGATAAATAATATCTAAAAGTCATTTTACAATTTATGAGGTGAATAATTTAAATATGATGATCATAATACTAATAAATGCCCTATCAGTTAGTAGCCAGAGTGAATAATGAAGTGCGCATAACTTTCATTGCAAAAGAGAAATAGAGATCACATAACAATATAAAAGAGTAATAAGTCTTTGAACTCTGTCATTTCAATATTTCTCCATGTAAAGACTCTGAGACTGCACTCATTTTGTGATCATCACTTTGTGGAAGGAAATTAAATAAAAGATAGGCGTCATAGTGGCATTTTTATTAAGCTTTTCCTAACAAAATTAAAATTTGTTCTTAAAACAAAAAAAAATCAAAACATTTTTTTTTATTTTTCTGCCTTTTGTTTTACAAAATTAGGGAAGAGACCCAGAATATTATATTTCTGTTAATTATATCAGGTTAATAAAACAAACTAGTTTTGACCCTTCATTTCATCATTTTACGTAGGGTTTTTGAAATAATGATTCTAACATTTTTTTATTTATTTTTGGTATTCAAAACTTATTCTAAAAGGTAGTTTTAAAAACATAAAAGTTGAGTATAAAATCAAGCAAGCTTTTATTTTTATTTACTTTCCGTTTTTTTATTTTTAATAGTCAAAGTTAGTTAACACATTTCTTTATATGTCACTTAGAAGTCATAATTTTGTTTTTAAGAAAAATAAATTTATGCTTCTATAAAGACTCAGCCTGTGCACTCACTTGGTGATCACGTTGCATGAATCAGTGGCATTCTCCAAAATTATGCTGACTACTCCAACAATAAGCACTATGATGGTAATAGTGATTTTATGACTATGCTCTGCCATTACTTTCTTCAATAATATGGCCACCTCCATGATAGCAGAGGAGAAACATGCTCTGTTTCAAAGCAACTAGCGGTAAGAAAAGGTATATTTCCATCATTTGATTTGTACTTCAAAATATAATCCTAAAAGTTAAAAATAATGGTTTCTTTAATTCGGAGTTCCATCAAACCACTATTCTGTGGTGTTCATCATCTCATGTTTGGCAATTTCATGCCCATTTTCACTATAATAACTCCAAAGACTAAAGACTTTAATATTGACTAAGACCATTAATTAACAACTGAGGCAATCTCACATGATATGATTAGTCCATTCGCCATTAGACCTACACACTCCAACGACTTTGACGCGCAGAAGGGAGATTCAATAATATTACTCTATATATAAAGACTCTGTGGATGCACTCATTTCATGATCGCTTTGTGTAGACAAAAGAACTAAATATGGGTGTGATGAGAGCGGTATTTTTATTATGCTTTGTTGCAATAACTTGCTTCCATATTAATGGTGTAGCATCAGTTGCCATGATAGAAGAGGAGAAACGTGCTTTGTTTCATACCAAATGGTGGAATTTCAGCAACAGTGCCCACAACTTGTCAGACCCTTGTCACTGGGAAGGCATATCTTGCAATGATTTTGGAAGCCTTGTTGACATGAATTATCAACAGATGACTACACAATACCATCATCTAGCATATTTCAATTTCACTGCATTTCCCAATCTAGAACGTCTCATACTTTCTGAAATGGGTTTGATAGATAACATTCCAAGCCAGATAGGATCACTTCATAAACTCATCCTTCTAAACTTATCTTTTAATAGTCTTACTGGTGAGTTGTATCTTCTACTTCTACTCTTACAATCCAAATTCAACTAATTCAAAAATATTGTATTTACCACCCCACAACCTAATACTTCTATTGACAGGGATTATTCCATCACAAATAGAATCTCTTCAAAATCTTACTTACTTAGACTTGTCTTCTAATAGTCTTGCTGTTGAGTCATATATCTTTCATTTCTACTCTTGCAAATTCATTCAATTTTGAAATATTATGTTTATTTCCACACAACTTAATACTTTTATTGATAGAGATCATTCCATCACAGATAGGATCTCTTCATAATTTGATTCATTTATACTTACCTTCTAACAATCTTGCTTATGAGTTATATATCTTTCATAGCTACTCTAACCATGTAAATTCACTAAATTTTGAAATATTGCACTTATCTCCCCACAACCTAATACCTCCATTGACAGGGATTATTCCATCACAAATAGGAGCTCTTCAAATCTCAATTATCTAGACTTGTCTTCTAACAGTCTTACTGGTGAGTTATATATATTCCATTTCTACTCTTACCTTGCAAATTCACAAAATTTGAAATATTGTACTTATCTCCCCACAACCTAATACCTCTATTGACAGGGATTATTCCATCACAAATAGGAGCTCTTCAAAATCTCAATTATCTGGACTTGTCCTCTAACAGTTTTACTGGTGAGTTAGATATCTTCCATTTCTACTCTTACCTTGCAAATTCACTAAATTCTGGAATATTGTATTTATCTTCACACAACCTAATACTTCTATTGACAGGGATTATTCCATCACAAATAGAATCTCTTCAAAATCTTACTTACTTAGACTTGTCTTCTAATAGTCTTGCTGTTGAGTCATATATCTTTCATTTCTACTCTTGCAAATTCATTCAATTTTGAAATATTATGTTTATTTCCACACAACTTAATACTTTTATTGATAGAGATCATTCCATCACAGATAGGATCTCTTCATAATTTGATTCATTTATACTTACCTTCTAACAATCTTGCTTATGAGTTATATATCTTTCATATCTACTCTAACCATGTAAATTCATTAAATTTTGAAATATTGCACTTATCTCCCCACAACCTAATACCTCCATTGACAGGGATTATTCCATCACAAATAGGAGCTCTTCAAAATCTCAATTATCTAGACTTGTCTTCTAACAGTCTTACTGGTGAGTTATATATATTCCATTTCTACTCTTACCTTGCAAATTCACAAAATTTGAAATATTGTACTTATCTCCCCACAACCTAATACCTCTATTGACAGGGATTATTCCATCACAAATAGGAGCTCTTCAAAATCTCAATTATCTGGACTTGTCCTCTAACAGTTTTACTGGTGAGTTATATATCTTCCATTTCTACTCTTACCTTGCAAATTCACTAAATTCTGGAATATTGTATTTATCTTCACACAACCTAATACTTTTATTGACAGGGATCATTCCATCACAGATAGGATCTCTTCATAATCTGATTTTTCTGCACTTGTCTTATAATAGTCTTACTGGTGAGTTATATATCCTCCATTTCTACTCTTGCAAATTCACTCAATTTGGAAAAATTGTATCTATCTCCACACAACCTAATACTTTTATTGACAGGGATCATCCCATCACAAATAGGATCTCTCCATAATCTAATTCATCTATACTTATCTTCTAACTATCTTACTTACAAATTATATATCGTTCATTTCCACTCTTACCTTGTAAATTCATTCAATTTGAAAATATTATATTTACCCGTACACAAACTAATACCTCTATTGATAGGGATTATTCCATGCCAAATAGGAGCCCTTCAAAATCTCAATTTTCTAGACTTGTCTTCTAACAGACTTACTTACATATCTTCCATGATTACTCTTGCAAATTCTCTAAATTTTGGAATATTTTATTTATCTTCCCACAAACTCCACTTATTTGGACTTGTCTTCTAATAATCTTACTAGTGATTTATACATCTTTCATTTTTACTCTTACCTTGGAAATTCAAAAAATTTAGAAATATTTATATTTACCTCTACACAACCTAATACCTCTATTAACAGGGATCATTCCATCACAGATAGGATCTCTTCATAATCTGATTTATCTGGAGCTGTCCCATAACAGTCTTACTGGTGAGTTATATATCCTCCATTTATACTCTTACCCTGCAAATTCACTAAATTTTGGAATATTTTATTTACCTCCACACAACCTAATACTTCTATTGACAGGGATTATTCCATCACAAATAGGAGCTCTTCAAAATCTCACTTATCTGGACTTGTCCTCTAACAGTCTTACTTGTGAGTTATATATCCTCTATTTCTACTCTTACCCTGCAAATTCACTAAATTTTGGAATATTTTATTTACCTCCACACAACCTAATACCTCTATTGACAGGGATTATTCCATCACAAATAGGAGCTCTTCAAAATCTCACTTATCTGGACTTGTCCTCTAACAGTCTTACTTGTGAGTTATACATCCTCCATTTCTACTCTTACCCAGCAAATTCACTAAATTTTGGAATATTTTATTTACCTCCACACAACCTAATACCTCTATTGACAGGGATTATTCCATCACAAATAGGAGCTCTTCAAAATCTCAATTATCTGAACTTGTCTTCTAATGGTCTTACTTGTGAGTTATATATCCTCCATTTCTACTCTTACTCTGCAAATTCACTAAATTGTGGAATATTTTATTTACCTCCACACAACCTAATACCTCTATTGACAGGGATTATTCCATCACAAATAGGAGCTCTTCAAAATCTCACTTATCTGGACTTGTCCTCTAACAGTCTTACTTGTGAGTTATACATCTTCTATTTCTACTATTACCTTGCAAATTCATTAAATTTTGAACTATTTTATTTACCTCTACACAACCTAATACTTCTATCGACAGGGATTATTCCATCACAAATAGGAGCTCTTCAAAATCTCAATTATCTAGACTTGTCTTCTAACAGTCTTACTGGTGAGTTATATATCTTCCATTTATGCTCTTAGCTTGTAAATTCACTAAATTTTAGAATATTTTATTTACCTCCACACAACCTAATACCTCTATTGACAGGGATTATTCCATCACAAATAGGAGCTCTTCAAAATCTCACTTATCTAGACTTGTCCTCTAACAGTCTTACTTGTGAGTTATATATCTTCTATTTCTACTATTACCTTGCAAATTCATTAAATTGAAATATTTTATTTACCTCCACACAACCTAATACCTTTATTGACAGGGATTATTCCATCACAAATAGGAGCTCTTCAAAATCTCAATTATCTGGACTTGTCTCTTAACAGTCTTACTGGTGAGTTATATATCTTCCATTTCTGCTCTTAGCTTGTAAATTCACAAAATTTTGAAATATTGTATTTACCTCTGCACAACCTAATACATCTATTGACAGGGATTATTCCATCCCAAATAGGAACTCTTCAAAATCTAACTTATCTGGACTTGTCTTATAACAGTCTCACTGGTGAGTTAGATATCTTCCATTTCTACTCTTACCTTGCAAATTCAGTAAATTTTGAAATATTGCATTTATCTCCCCACAACCTAATGCCTTTATTGACAGGGATTATTCCATCACAAATAGGAGCTTTTCAAAATCTCACTTATCTGGACTTGTGCTCTAACAGTCTTACTTGTGAGTTATATATCTTCTATTTCTACTATTACCTTGCAAATTCAGTAAATTTTGAAATATTTTATTTACCTCCACACAACCTAATACCTCTATTGACAGGGATTATTCCATCACAAATAGGAGCTCTTCAAAATCTCAATTATCTGGACTTGTCTTCTAACGGTCATACTGGTGAGTTATATATCTTCCATTTCTACTATTACCTTGTAAATTCATTAAATTTTGAAATATTTTATTTACCTCCACACAACCTAATACCTATATTGACAGGGATTATTCCATCACAAATAGGAGCTCTTCAAAATCTCACTTATCTGGACTTATCTTCTAACGGTCTTACTGGTGAGTTATATCTTCCATTTCTACTCTTACCTTGCAAATTCACTAAATTCTGGAATATTGTATTTATCTTCACACAACCTAATACTTTTATTGATAGGGATCATTCCATCACAGATAGGATCTCTTCATAATCTGATTTCTCTAGACTTGTCTTATAATAGTCTTACTGGTGAGTTATATATCCTCCATTTCTACTCTTGCAAATTCACTCAATTTGGAAAAATTGTATCTATCTCCACACAACCTAATACTTTTATTGACAGGGATCATCCCATCACAAATAGGATCTCTCCATAATCTAATTCATCTATACTTATCTTCTAACTATCTTACTTATAAGTTATATATCGTTCATTTCAACTCTTACCTTGTAAATTCATTCAATTTGAAAATATTATATTTACCCGTACACAACCTAATACCTCTATTGATAGGGATTATTCCATGCCAAATAGGAGCCCTTCAAAATCTCAATTTTCTAGACTTGTCTTCTAACAGACTTACTCGTTAGTTACATATCTTTCATGTTTACTCTTGCAAATTCTCTAAATTTTAGAATATTGTATTTATCTTCCCACAATATAATACCTGTATTGAGAGGGATTACTCAATCACAAATATAATATAAAAAATTTTCATGGAATGGTGACAGGTATCATTCCAACTCATATAGGAGGCCTTCAAAATCTCAATCATTTGGACTTGTCTTACAACAACCTTTCAGGTGTTCTACCTTCCAACCTTCCAACTTTATTTAGAATCACTAGATTTGAGTAGAAACAAAAAAATAGTTGGGGTCATTCTTTAAACTTTGGGTTTTATGACAAATCTCCACAGCTTATATTTATACTCAAATTTATTCACTACAGGTGGCATCCCTTCTTCGATTTTCAATTTGAGAGATTTACAAGATTTTGATGTTTCTCAAAATCAATTAAGTGGTGGCATTCCAGAAAAATTAAATATTGACTTTGACGTAGATGTGTCCCAAAATAATCTGAGTGGAAACATACCGGACATTTTGAACTACTTCTATGTTCGTGTTAACTTTAGTCACAACAAATTCAATGGAATATTACCATCTAATATATGCAGTGAACCCCCATCATGTAGCATTGATTTAAGCTACAACAGTATCTCTGGTAGCATACCAAGAGAATTTGGTAGGCTACAGTACATCAACTTGTCATACAATCTTCTTAGCGGCTATGTTCCAACTGAAGTTTATAGCTCTTTTCATGATGACATTTTAAATGGTAATAAAGAATTACTTGGGCCAGAGAAGATACATAAAGGCTCAAAGTCTTTGCTGAAAATCATTATTCCTTTGACAATCTTTCTTGTCATCACATTTGTTGTGGGTTTCATCTTATTTGAATCATTCAAAAAGCACAAGAAATCCGTAAGTCAGGCAAGAGAAGCAAAAAATGGGGATTTGTTTTCCATATGGAATTATGATGGAAGAATTGCATATGAAGACATCATTGAAGCGACAGAGGACTTTGACATCAAATATTGTATTGGAACCGGTGCTTATGGAAGTGTTTATAGGGCACAACTTCCAAGTGGCAAAATCGTAGCATTGAAAAAGCTCCATAAAAGAGAATATGGAAACACATTTTTGGCCAAGAGTTTTCACAATGAAGTGAAGATGTTGAGTGAAATTCGACATCGCAATATTGTAAAGCTTCATGGTTTTTGTTTGCATAATCAATGTATGTTTCTCATCTATGAATACATGGAAAGAGGAAGTCTTTTTTATGTGTTGAATGATGATGATGAAGCTAAAGAGTTGAATTGGAGTAAGAGAGTGAATGCTGTCAAAGGAATAACAAATGCTTTGTTGTATATGCATCATCACTGTGCTCCTCCAATTATCCACCGAGACATAACAAGCAATAATATATTGTTGAACTCACAGATGGAAGCTTTTTTATCAGACTTTGGCACAGCTAGGATCATTGATCCAGATACATCTAATCAAACTCTTTTAGTTGGTACTTATGGTTATGTTGCTCCAGGTGAGCATTTCTAAGTCTCTACTAATACTCCTTCTATGTTGTATTTTATTTCTACAGCATATTACTTGTCTTGGGATAAATACATAACTATTTAATTTTTGGCCCATTGCAGAGCTTGCATACACCTTAGCTGTTACTGAAAAATGCGATGTTTATAGTTTTGGGGTGGTGACATTAGAAACAATAATGGGAAGACATCCTGGAGATTTGATATTATCTTTGTCAAAGACCTGTACAGTAAGCATTTTGCTAAAGGATATTTTGGACTCACGTCTCCCTTTGCCATCACAGAAAGATGCAGGAGATATAACTCTTTTGGTCACAATAGCATTAGCATGCTTGAACCCATCTCCCAAATCTCGACCATCAATGCAACAAGTGTCTCAAAGGCTTTTATCATCCAACCTTCCATTGGCAATTCCTTTCAATAATATCTCAATCCAACATTTAGCAAATGAAGATATGCCAATAATGCAATAAAAAGCTTGGAGATTTGGCTCAGTGTTTGCTTTGTACCTCAGATGAAACCTTTAAAGATTTGCTTCAAAGTCTAGATTTGAAATCTGCCATATGTTTAATTTGTTGCAGTTGATATTTGTCTTATTCTGTTTAAATAATAAGGTATCAAAATTGAATTATAAGAAATGTATACCTAGAAGCAACCTCACTAAACCCACCTCTACCCAGAATGTTTTTGTTACTAAACTTATCTATTGCAACTTAAAACTTTTCAAGTTGACCAAAGTGAGTTTCTAGGCCCTCCTTAAATCGGCTGTCAGTAAAAAGGCAAAATGTTATGTTAGTAAATCAATTATGGCTATCACATAAATCATCAATCATTATATATAGCATCTTTTCCATTATTCAACTTATTACCAAGAACATCAAAGAAATAATCTTTTTGTCTCCTTTTCCATTAATAAACATTTAGAGCAATAATAGCTCCAGTAGCACTATTGCCTAAAACTATTAAGTGGAATAGAGTGATCAGTAGAATTTTGATATGCTCCCGCTCATTAATGACTATGAGCCTACACTTCATCATTATATATATACGCACACATGTATATAACTTAAATTCTACATGTGCATAAAATCATTGAAGTTTAGCAAAACACCCACAGGACTTACAGTGAATTAGAAGTAGCCAAGGTCATAGGAATGACTCCTATCAAGCTGTTGTTTAGAGACGCCAATTTCAGAGAGCATGAAGGATTAGTTTATGAATAATAGCATGCTAAGGTAGAGAGATATGAAAGCAATAGGCAAACATTTTATCATTTAATAAAGTTTAGAACGTGTTACTCCAGTTCTGGTGACACATGACTTGTTCCTAGGAAAATAAATTTACTAAAGCAAGAAAATCCACAACTTGGGATGGCGCTTATTGAAAACAAAAAGCTAAAAAATGAAAACAAAAAGAGACTGAGGGAAAAAAAAAGCTAATTTGGGAGCCAAGTTATTGGCCTTTTGATGGCTCAAATACCCGCCCAGAACTTTTATCAAAATGGCTTGTACTAGGAACTAATTTTATGACCAATATTATGATAATTGTTGCAATAACGGTCGACATTTAAAATTGTTAATTGATGGTTTTTAAGCAAGAAAATAATTCTTAAAATCTGACAGTTAGGAGATAGTTTTTATTTTAGACTTTACACATATCAAAATATTAAATGACAAAAAAATTAGATTAAATATGAACTGTTTAATTTTTAATTTGATCAATTCTGATCTTGAAACTGAACCCTTGTAACATGGGATTTTTTGCATTTACAATACTCCCCAGCTTCTATTTATAAGCTTCAAATTTATGAAGGAATGTGATCTATTTTATAAGCTTCAATTTAGGGATTGTCTTAACATTTAATATTTTCTTAATGTTATTCTTAATTATTTCTCTATTTCATATTTCCCTACGTATTCTCTTTATCCTTTTTCTCATTTATTATAAGGGCATATTTAAAAACAAAATTATATTTTTAAATTATTTTTTATTTTAAAATAATTTTAACTAATTATTTATTATCCGTAAATTAGTTATTTAAAACTCATAAGGAGCAGAGTGAGTAATTCTCTAGTATGTATTTTGGTTTTGCCATCGATTCTCTAACATGTACTCATTTAGCTCTATTTATAAGGTACAGAGAGAATGTTTTTTTAGTCATGTTTATAAGTCACTTTATTAAATTTCTAATATAAATGCACTATTTTGTCATTCTTTTATTATAATGTAGATATTTATTTTTTGGGTTAATATAATGTTTGGTCCTTATAGTTTATGTTCATTTTGGTTTTGATTCCTATACTTCCAAGCAATAGGTTTTGGTCCCTTAAGTTTTATTTTGTTTATAACATTAGTCCCTGTAGTTTAATAAGGACCTAAACAGTGTTAAGTTTGCTAATGTGTCACTAACGCCGTTTATTCTACTGACATGGCATGCTGACTAAGCAAGGTGACTGGATATGTGATTTTAATTATATATATATATATCTACACACACACATATATAAAAAGCCATCATCTTCTTTGCGTAATGGGGCGTTCTCACTGCGCACCATTAATTCATTGTCATCATCTGGCTTTTTTCTTGTACGGTTGTAATAACTTGAGGAGCCAAGTGTCAGCTCAATGGCAAACTCATACATGATCTCTACCTCATCACTTTCTAATTCTACAATGTGCTCCTCCACTATCCTGTTCAAGATCAAATCTGCTTTTAGGCTTTTTATATGCATCTTTATGATGATTAGTAATGTAACATGAACATTCTTGATTACTCAATCTTTAAATGATCAATAATTTGAAGGGCAAAATTTAGAAAGACAAGTACTTGCTCCATGAGCCACTTTTGTTTTTTGTAAAAACAGAGATTAACATAGCCATGAATCTGAAAGTTGCAAGCCTAAAGATCTTTGCAATGACAGAGCAATTGGACTTTGTGGTCCTTGTATTCTTCAATTCTATTTATTTTTTCCCAATAATATTACTCCCATAAATTAATGATGACTTAGATAAGATATCTATGTCCCACGTGATTTTGGCTTTCTAATTGATTGATTTTTTTTCCCAGCTAGGTGACATATATTTCATATAAAATGTTAATAAATTTCAAACAAATTCTGCAGTCTCTTCGCCCCCAACCCA